AGATGGTAAATGGACTGTATTTATATAGCACATTTTTCACAGTGTGTTGCACTGGCCAAAGCGCTTTACAGGGAGATCATACACCATTCACCCATTCACACACCGATGACGACAAGGCTGCCACACAACGGCGCTAGTCACGCCACCGGGAGCAATTCGGGGTTCAGTGTCTTGCTCAGGGACACTTAGGCATGCGGGGAGACAGGGAGTCGAACCACCAACTTGCTGGTCAGAAGACGACTTGCCCTACCTCGTGAGCCACAGCCACCCAGATGATCTGTTCAAGTCAGGAGACTCCTAAACCTAGAGCTTCTGTGTTCTTGAAGTAGTTCATGGTGGATACTGATGCTAACATTGTTAGCCAATTGAAGGAACTGCTCCAAAGTGTTGCAAAAACCAAAGCTTAACCATTTCTTATCCTTTCTCGATGGTGGATCTGCAACCCCAAGTGACAGGCATCCAGTCAAGGCTGCTGTCACATATGATTTTGAGCAAATTCTGGCCACCGCAATCAGTGAACTGTACTCACTATAAAGACTGTGCATGTTACTGCATTTGTCTGTATTTTGCATGTTTTCTTTTTTGCTGCAGGCCAAAGGAAAGAAGCCACTGTTTGTGCAGCTTGTGCTGAATAACATTTGGAGTTTGTATGATGCAGTTGTCACTCGGAGGTGGGTAAAAGTTACTACACTGAAACACTATGGTACATTTGAAATTCACAGGCAGTGTTGCTTTCTTAAATGAATGAAATCGCTGTTGTAAAGACGTGTGATCATGATGAAATACTGTGGTACAAAGATAAGCTATGTAGCAGTCTAAACCAGTATGATATCAGTTATATTTTGTGGTGTGTACACAGGGTTAAGATTGCTTTAAAAAACTGTTCCATTATTGGTTGGAATTTTTAAATTTTACCTACTGATAATCATCATCACCTTTATTTACCGAAAGGCCAGTTGAGCTCTCATTCTCAGTGGTGCCCTGACATACAATTAACACCTTCAGAACAATAAAACAAACACGTGGATCATAGAAAAAATAAGTATCAAAAATACAAAATCACAAAACACATTAAATACAATAAAATGTATACACAACATCAGTGTAAAAAAATCATATTAAAAAAAGTGTCCACTCACATTTAAACAGTAAAATACTATATAAAAGCAGTTTAAATTGAGGAATGAGCATAGCCAGTTTAGTTTTTTCTGCAAACTGTTCCATCTTTGCGGTGCATAGTAACAGAACACATTGATGGCTTATTACTCAGGAGTCATGTAATATATTCAGCAGGGCTTTATAAATATATAGCACACAATGATGCTCTCTTTCTTGGTGTCAGACATGGTGTAGTAGCCAAGGTAAAATCTGTAGTTGTTAGGATCTGATACCAACTAAATTAATTCAGACAAATCATCCCAATTTAAATAATCATTTAATATTACAATTATTCTGAACAGAGTAGTAGGTAGAGAGGTAATCTGGTAGTTAGGGAATAGAGAACAGAATCGCTCCTCCTGCAATGGAATAGATAAAGTACTAAATGAGGAGATTGTCACAGAGTCAGTCAGTCTTGGTCACAGGGTCCAGTCATCAGAGTCCAGAGTTCAGAGTCCCCTCGGTCGGGTCCAAAAGCACACTCATGTCTGCAGCACCATCACTCCTTCTCCCTCCCTAACCCAGCTATCCTAGCCTTTATCTTCTCACAGTTACACAGCCTTCCATGGCCTGAGCCACAGACGCAGTCTCACGCCAGCTCCACACACCTTCTTCTGAGCATTGTCTAAGTCCAGTACATGAACTTCTAGGTTGCGTTGACCTAGCGCACATTTCCTTTTTCTAAGCATGAACAGAGCACACAAACTGTTCACATAAGGCTGAAGCTATGTCCATTTTCCCATTTAAGGAGGACTCCTCTCTGGATGTTTACCCATAAATTAAACAAGGAGGACACAAGCCAAAATATTCTTGCTTGAGCAAGAGGAGAGAAGAGAAACCGATCAAGCTTACATAAACACTTAGCTCACCCTTACATAACTACTACAAATAATATCTATATATGAACTACACACTATTCTATTACGTATTATCTCTGGACTGGTACCTTGTTTGTTTTTAACCACTACACTAGTAACTAGCTTCAGAGCATTAACCTTCATTTGAGTGTAAAATACTGTACATGTCAAATGAGTAGAGAGGGGCTGAAGTGTCTTTCACACAGTGTACTGTACCACAAGCAGCCTCATTATGTGGCTTTATCAGATGCATCAGGAGTCAGGGCTCCTCCAGGGCTCTTATAGCTCTGTGCACAACTCTGTGCACAGCTCAGTACAAACAACCCTTAGACAATGTGACATTGAGCATGACAAAAGAGGAGCACATTGCTGTATTATTCCCTCTGCTGGCAAGAATCCCAAAATATAACTAACTAACTAAATAAATAAATAAATAAATCTCCAGTTTCTCATTCTCCTTCTTCTTGCTGTTGTTAACACTACTACCACCATGTCTGGTTGGTTGGCCAGTACCTTCCTGTCTGTCTGGATCTGGAAGTCCCACAGGATCTTAGTCCTGTTACTCTCCAGGACCTTCTGAGGAGTCTCTCACCTGGACCTGGGAGGGTGTAGACCAGACTTGTCACAGATGTTTCTGTGCACAGTGCCAGCCACTTGGCTGTGCCGTTCAGTGTTTGCTGTTCCTGCCTGTATTTTACATCCTGCAACTATGGCACAGCCTGTGGTGGTACCTGGCAGCTTCAGATGCACCAACACATAATGTCTCATAGGTGCTCAGTTGGATATATGTCAGGGGAATGTGAGGGCCAGAGTCGTACTAGAGGATGTCATGGAGTCTGTTTCTGACAGTTTGGTCAGAAACACCAGTAGCTGCTGAAGGTCATTCTGTAGGGCTCTCAGTGCTCCTCCTGCCACAAAGGAGCAGATCTCGGTCCTGCTGCTGGGTTGTTGCCCTTCTACGCCCCTGTCCAGCTCCCCCAGTGTAAAGGCCGGTCTCCTGGTATCTCCTCCATGCTCTTGAGACTGTGCTGGGAGACAGCAAACCTTCTTGTGACTGCACATATGGATGTGCCATGGTGGAGTAACTGGACTACCTGTGCAACCTGACTGGGCTGCAGGTACTGCCTCATGCTACCAGTAGTGACAAGGACACTAGGAAAACAAAACTTGAGAAGAATCGCTCAGTAAGGATCAGGAGAGAGCATTTTTCTGTGGCCACCACATATAAAACCAGCCCCTTTTGGAGGGTTGTCTTGCCTTTACCTCACTATTGCACCATCACTTTCATTTGCACCAAAGCAGATGAAACTGATTCATAATCACTTGGACAGACTGATATCCCTGAGGTTTAACTGACTTGATGTTATACTGTTATTATCAAGTGTTTCCTTCATTTTTGAACAGTATGTTTGTTTGTTTATTTAATGTTTTATGTATTTATTTAAAAAAGCTGAGCCTCAGAGCCAAATGTTGCAGCAGTAGTAGCTGCTTACCTTTGCATTCTGGTGCATTGGATGTAAATGACTTGCTGCTGTTGGCTCAGTGCTGCTGTGACACTTTGCCTATAAATAAACTCTGGAGCCCTCCTGGCTATCTCAAGGTCCTTTGCACTTGCTGACACACATGCACACACACACAGCAGGGAAACAAACCCTGCTCCCGTGCCTGATGAAATCTGTAGACAAGGTGTCTTAGCAGGTCAACAGCAAAGACCCACGACCAGAAAGAAATAACAGGGGCTTATTGAGTGACAGCATACAAGACCTATCTCAGCTATTATCGGTGCTATGAGTTCCTCTTTGGAGGATTTGGGGAGTTTTTTGATCAGTAATAGTTTAGGACGTACTGTGAAAGTGTAGCAGTATGGAGTTTGTCACATGTAGACGGAGCCAGACGGTCAGAGACACATATGGTCAGAGCTGGAGGATGAGAGGCCAATGGCTGAATCTCACTTTTGTCACCGCAGTCTGCTACATCCCACCTTCTACGCCTCCCTATGTGCTCTCAACACACACAGACACAATACTTAAATACACATACTAATACATACTACAGGACAGCAAGCATACATAGTGTAAGAATAGTTTAACAGTATTTCCTTTAGATTTAGATCAGAAGACACATACCACACTCAGGCTTTGGGAAGTCACCGCTCCCAGCCAACAAACAGCCTGGCACATAAACCACAGCGTTTTATTGTTCTGCTTTGGTTTGTTGTTTGTAAGTATTAAACTAATTGGTGTATTATTTACTCTTGGGTACAGCTTCCTCGTTTGCAGTCCTTATGCTAAGCTAAGTTAACTGTCTCTTGGAGTCAGCCAAGATATTTCATCTTCTTGTGTAATTTTTGGCAAGAAAGTGAATAAACATACATGTATATCCCAGAGTTTGATTCCAGCCATCTGCTCCATGTGCATTTTCAATTTAAACATGCCAAAAAAATAAAACGTCTTATGCTTGACTGAAGTGCAAAAGTTGATGCATGAAATAAAGTGCAATGTCTTGGCAATAAATGATGACATGACATGAAACATGTTCGTTTAACATCCACTGAAGTTTTCACTCCACTGAAGAAATGAGAATGAAAACAACAGACCAATCAAGAGACAGTAACCTTCTTCAAATGAATACAACAAACAAACATAAATATCATCTTGGAAATCATCCACTGAAATGATCCATGTGTCAACCACAGTTTATGCCAATTTAAAATATTTCACAAACTACAAACTTTATCTTTGAACTTGAACCAAACTGTCAGTGGTGTAACCAAGCCCCAGCTGCCTTGACTCATTTATTTTAGGTCTGTCCAAGTATGAATCAGTTTTGTGTTTGAAACATTCTTGTACATGTTTAATAAGGTCATCGATGTTTGGAGTGGCTGCTTGCTTCTTATCGGTTTTAGGAAAATATTTACCGTATGTAAAGTAGTTGGAATTCTAGCCCTCCTGCCTCATGTAGCCACGGGGCTGATGAAGTGATGGTTCACTTGTAGTTCTTTGGTGAGATGTTCTGAAACCAATGATGTGATGAGTAAAATTACACACAAAAGACAGGGTAGCATCAACACAGCAACAGTGGCAACATAATGTTCTCAAGACAATGCAAAAGCCATGCAAAGCAACACAACACAACACAACATCAGTGCAGTAACACAGCACCAATATCTGCTATTCAGGGTGTACAGCCATGCAAGCAACACAAAACACAAAACCTATCCAATTCACATTTTCCTTGGCAGATTTTCTGGAGCTTCAGTTCAACTTTGTGCCACTTTTGAATTGAAGTCTAACTAACATTGAGCTAATGTATTTTTCTGAACAAATCTAATGACTAGGCCCTTGTGTGCATAATAGGCACAATACTAGACTCTGTTTGTGTGACAACATCTGCTCCTTTATTTGAAACGTTGCAGACCTACTGAGATTTCCAGCAGTGTGAATGCCTCTTCAAATGAGATAAAATGTCATCAGCGGAAGGGCTTGATTGAATGTTTAATGATAGCAGGTCCACTGACTAAAGATGGAGAAAAGGCTGATTCCTGAAAATGCTTTCAGTTTGATTCAAGAGGAAACCGTAGCACCAGTAAAGTGCAGTTTGGAAACACGTCAGAAAAAAACATTGCTGTTAAAATGCCGTTGTCACTGGCTGTCCAA